ATTATGCATGACTGCGGAAGGTAGCCGCCTCAAGCACTTCCGGTTCTTCTCTTATGCGCACGCTCATTAGATCACTCTCTTAACGAGAGTGTAACTATTGTCAAGTTATGGCCATCTTATGTAACGCTTGTCGCTCGAGATTGTGCTCTTTTCAGCTCTCTTGGGGTACGTTCCACTTAACACCTGCAACGCTCGCAGCATCCGTTCCACATAACGATCGAGATCACTGTGGCGCGATCAGAATGTTATTAATCGCGACCGCATCGAACCCACGACGCTCACGATTCGTAGGTGGGTCGGCGCGATTGTTTAAAATTTTGCCCATAGGTAGTGGTAAATATTTCGGCCGTAGCGTAGTCGTTGCAAGCGATAAGTGGAACGCATCTTTGATGCTTTGTACACGATTTGGTGAATGAACAACGAGGACTGTTCTACGCTCAGCAATCTTTAGAATCTGGAAGGTGACGTGATTAAGTGTGCTGCTGGATAATAAAAGAATACAGCATCACATCGCGCTCGTGTTCACCACATGATGTGTGGCCATTTTACAAAAAATATATTTTATAAAAAGTACATTTTATAAAAAATAAGTTTTTAAACTAGAAACTTAATGTTATTGCAAAAAATTATCGCAATTTTTTTAAGAAGACAATTTAGAGTTTAAACGGCCTAAAATACCTTAAATACCTTAAATACCTTAAATATCTTAAATATCTTTTTAATAATTTGTGCTGATAATTTTTCGTTGAGCTATAGCATATTAATAAAACAAGTATAAAATGAAAAAAGTATTTAAAACATATCGGAGCACTAATTTTCAAAATTTACACCCATATTTCACCACTGCCTTTTCTGCATCAATGCGCAATGTTTTTATAGGAAACTCCAATCATAATGCCGGATTCACACTGCATTCGGCATTCATGATCCGATAGAAGAATAAATTTTCTAGATAAAAATATTGATATCTAGGAACCCTAAAAACCTAAAAGTAAATTCTCCTATTGGATCATCTTACATCGGATGCAATGTGAATTCTGCATAATACTGCGGATCTCGAAACTCAAAACGAAGCAATTAAGTGGACAGCGTGAAATAGTTTCAGAGAGAATACAAAATCTTAGTATAAAGAAAAAAGAAAGAAGAGAATACAAAGTCTTAGTTTAGTTCAATTCACTTCTAGCACAGTATACTGGTCTAATGATTCTAATTTCAATCCTCGTGCAAGAACAGAAAACAAATCTCATGCGTATCTGAGATTTTCTCAAATCTTATTAATTTTATTTATTGTCATAATTAAGTTAACAATTAAATTACCTCACATAATACTGGGTGTTTATTTGGAAATCAGCTTTTTTAAGTTCAATATTAGTTATTCCATCTTGCTCTTTTATTTAGGCTGAAAGAAAATAATACATTTTTTTACTCCGTTCTTGCTTACATTTTAGTAATTCTTAGTTGTACAAATCATCTAATCACAAAATAATGTATAATTTATAAAACGAAATAATCATAAGTCTATATAAAAAATTATTTTATTTTATGTGACGTATGCATAAAATATCATGATTTTATTATTTAAAATTACATATTTACCTTTTTTTTATAATTATATTAAAATCAAGATACATCGACACTTAAGCATTTTAATTCTTGTTGTTTATCAAATATTTAACAAGAACAAATGATACTTATGAGCGCTGTGAACGTAAAATCAGAACACAATTAAATTATATATACTTAAGAAGATATGATTGAAAAATCGTAAAGATATATATGCTCAGCAAGCAAAATGCTAGCAATTTGCTGGCAAATTGGCAACAAATTCGATTCAGATATTGACTGCAAATCCATAATCATCCCTTCATATAGGGTGCTATCTCATGGCACATATTTTTAGCGTAACGCGTATCGCGTAACTAATCATGCTAGAGTTCCATGACGTATTTGCCGCGTACCGCATAACCAATCAGAAGCGATCTATGTTTTCCGGTACGCCAAAGTAGAGGACAAATTCTACTTTTATTGTAATACGCGGTATTACAAATGTGTGTGTGTGTGTGTGTGTGTGTGTGTGTGTGTGTGTGTGTGTGTGTGTGTGTGTGTGTGTGTGTGTGTTCTAATTAGTTTTCTTCGTTTAATTTAAGTTAGTAAAGTTAATTTTAGTTAAGTAAAATAATATATAAATTAATAGAATATATATATATATATATATATATATATATATATATAAGAATAAAATAAAAATATACATATATTTTTGCAAATTTCCAAACGTATGTTTACTAATATCGGCATTCGAATACATTCCTGTTTCGCTATAAGTGATCCCAGAGAGTTTAACAAGTTTTAATATATTTCCATATCCATACGAAAATTAAAAAACGTATTGTCATTATGAAATTGTAATTCTTTCACAAGTTTATCACTTGCTCCTTGACGTAAACGATTTTCATAGAAAAATATAGGATAAACATTGTTTTAATAATGTTCTTTTTGATTTGCTTTATATCTTTCTTGAACGACTTGAACTCCATCCGTTAAAGCAAAATTCTGATTGGCATAAATATTTGTTTTCAATATTTACGTACGATTGCTCGTTTACTTATTCTTTTTTATTAAAAACCAAATAATTATTAATTTTTTAATTTCAGGTGTATAGCTAAACGTTTGAATAAATTTTTCGACGTAATGCACAAATATAAACCAATATATTATTTGAATTTATACTTCTGAATTATACGAAAATTATATAATTAAATACGTTGTAGATATGTGTGTACAAAACAATACGCGAATTTTTTTCCTTCTGTCTTATAGAGCATTTTTCTAAATAGCGTAACCAATAAAATTACGATATTTAGCATTCCGTGTAGAGCGCTAAGAGAATAGACAAATATGATTGGTTACGCATGTACATAGATTACTTTTTTACGTGCCATGGGATAGAAGAGAATTTATTTATGCGTAGCGAGAAACGTACATCGCTTCTGATTGGTTACGCAATTACACGGTACGCGGCAAATACGCCTGATGAGACTCCACCATCAAAGACTTTTGAGTGCCGTCACATGTGGCGTAACTTGCGTAATCTGCGTATTCTAATATTTTACTAAAACACGTTACACCATTCTGAAAGCCTTCTTTCACATAAAGCATATTTCGCGGAATTTCGAAAAATGCGTAATTAATTGCTGATTAGGGCTTTTGTTGTACTCTCTAACAGAAATGCTAAACTAATTTGTGATTGATTTTTATAATCTGCGTATTTGGAAAAGTACGTTTCATATAAAA